ACCATGCACAAGAGTGGGCAGTTATTTAGAGCATCTCATCAAACCACCACTTCTTGCCATTTTTGACGTGTCTAGAGAAACTAAAATCTCTGCATATGCTTCGAAATGCCCGCTAGAAGCAGCTCTTTTGCAGCATTACAGTGACACTTGGCGGCCAGTTGCCAATGCATATCGTGCTATGAGTGATGCAGAACAAAGATATTCTCAGATCGAAAAAGAGGCAATGGCAATTACCTAAGATGCGAAAAGTTTCACCAGTTTGTTCATGGATGCAAGATTGTGATTAAAACTGACCATCATCCGTTAATTGCCATTGCTACAAAACCTATTGGTGACATGTCCCCGTGGCTTCACCGTTTCTTTCTGCGTTTGTTCCCCTATGACTTTGATCATCACTTCCTGCCAGGCAAACAGCGGCTCCTGGCGGAGCTGCTATCCAGGGCGTAACCAAGTGCCGCAGGAGACATTAGATTCAATGAGGACGTGAAAATCCATGCAACGAGAATTGTGCCCGAGTTGGTAAACACAAAGACCATGGATCGCCTAGCAATGAAAACTGCAGCCGATCCCGAGTTTCGAGCTGTTATCGACTACTTATGCGGCAAGGAGAAGCTCGAGGGCCCATTGAAACCGTTTGCATCCGAGTCATCACTTGTGATGGCTACAAGTGGGGAGGTTACAACGGAAGTGGGGAGGCTACAACGGAAAGGCAACTTTTTCGTTTTTTATGATATCTTAATGAAATTATCAGGGTAGGCTAATAATAAAGCCCTCTGAATAACCATCAAATTTCATGCATTTAGGTTCACAAGTTCCCAAGTTACAGCCATTTATCAGGATAGTCCACATAGGTTTCTTAGTGAGGTTCCGGTGAATTTAATAAATGTGCTAGCACCGTGAAATTCACTATGATGATTCCTAGAAGTGTGCTTTACTTTAGAGCAGAGCCCTTTTTTTTCAATTTTCTTGCTGAAAATTGTTAGTGGAGCACTGGATTCAGTGTTTGCCACCGAGCTGTTACTTATGAAATTTTAATTATCACAAATTACAGACATAAATTAAAAAAGTGGCTCTTTCAGTGGGTGGGCTATTTATTAGGGTGCATAACAAAACACATCTGATAAAAATCAGATGAGCGGTTGTAAAGATATCACCAGACTAAACAGCCTCACTGGCCAAAAAAGTCATTCTGAGACAACGGAAAGTTTTGAACACATATTTTAGTGTAAAATGACCCTTTAAAGTAGCTTTCCTGTTTGTGTTGCAGCTGTTCTTGAGCCTTTTTCACACAGAAAGGGTCTGCATAGGTTGGCAAATGCACAGATGATGACGCGGTCGCACTGTTTGGGGCCGTAACCGTTGCAGTTACCGAGCACAACGCACCAGGCGCACTTGAGCACGAAACACAAACTCACTTGTAACGACGGAGCGTTGCGCCGATTCTCGATGTTGCGAAAAGCATCAATGCAGTCATTGTCTTGAAGAGACGAAGGAGAAGCTGCTCAGCATCGATGCGACTGTTGCCCACATGCTGGCGCGTGAATGAGCCTCACCATGCGTACAAGCTTCATCGGAAGCTTTCTTGAACAGAACACGCGCCAAGTCAAGTCCCAAACTTTGCCCTGCCCATCGCTGGTGACAGAACAATCAGCGTCCCATGAACATAGCGAAAGATTGTCTCATAAAGACGGTGAAAAATTGAAGAGTACGTGTGAGAACCGATCGGAATGATGGCAAACAGGACACATAAAGCACGGCCAGAGAACACCGGCGCTTGAAAGGCCGGCGCTAGAGCAGATGGTGAGTGGGGGGAACAGATGCATAATCGCACGCAGCAGCCGATAGGAGCCGAATGATTGCCCACTCCCTCGAGAGATGTGTGCTTCCTCAAATCGCGGCTTCACATCCGAGCCACGGGAGACTTCAAAACTTTGAGAGCCCCCTAATCATGAGCGATTCCCGCCTCGGCCACGCTGCTGCTGTCATCGTGGGTAGCAAAAAAAAAAGAGCGAGAATTCACGAGCAAAACAAAACTACGATGACGGCGCTGGGCCGCGTGGTCGGGAAATGACAAACAGGCGAATTTGGGGTATTTTCAGTGCTCGCTAGCCACTCACCGGCTGCCTCGACATGTTATATAATGTATTTGAGGTATTTTCGCGAAGAATTAAGCATTGATATTTACAAAACAGATAGTTTATAAGAGATACTACCCGAATATGTGGTTTTCAAAAGATTAACTTTTTCGCAATTTTTTGGATTTTCAAAGAGTGCGTCGTCTCCTCTTAGGGATGCAAAGTGGTTATTACAAAGTCATTAGGGCGAGAAGTACTCGACCACATTTATGAAGGGAGCTTGGGTATGTACAAGGCCAAAGCAAAAGCTCGACGTTTGGTTTTCTGGCCAGGGCTTAGCCTGGACTTCGAGAGAATGCTACAGGGCTGTACAGCCTGCGGCAAGTACGCTTATGCGCAGCAAAGCGTGTGGGGGAGCACGTGCGCCCAGCCTCCCTTTCCTTTTTACGGCAGCGCGAAAACCTAGTTGCGGGAACACCCCCGCGGCCGGCGCTCGCGATCCCCCTTTCCCGGCGTGCGGAATGGGTCTCCCCTCGCTCAGCGAGAAAAGGTATTATTCTCATCAAGGATAGCAGTTATATAGAGTCCTGGCTAGTTTTTTGCCATTGCCGTCGTCATTAACTGTATATGTATACGTATCTAATATAAAAACTCAAGAAAAAAAAAAAAGCCGCCGGCGCTCGGCCCCCTGCTCGTCATGATGTGCCAACACGCGCTTATCGCCTACGCATACTTTGCGCTGTGAATTGAATTAGTTGTTAGATGCTTGTGGGCGTGCGCTTGTCCTTCGGTGGGAATGATCGTGTGCCTTTTACTTTGACCGGAACGGTTGCATTTAGTTGCCGGGCACACTAGGATCACTTCGCTCGCTGGACAGCCGGTGCTTGTGAAAAGGGTGTGCTTTTCAAACACAGCGAAGTAACAACTGGGGCACTTGTTAGTTTGCACTCATATGTGTACCTGTGATTACGTTTCGCGCCTCGTTTTTGCTTAAACAGAGCAATAAGTGTCGAGCGGTAAACGTCAGTTCGCTCTTTTCCTGTGTATGTTGTTTTTGTGCATCATTTGTGCATGAGCAGTGCGCTGCACGTTTCGATCTGCTTACCGTTTTCAGTGTTACATTCAAAGTTCTTGCTTTACTTGCTTCGCCCTTGCAGCGAAACTGTGACATTTCTTAATTCCAGACGACCGTCTCGTCACCACCGATGGGATGTCAGATTAAGCATTGATAGAAACTCTCCGAAACCACGGTGACGACAGATCTTCGGAGGTCGACTCGTCACGCGCTTCCGTCTTGCACTGCGCCACAAGTTCACAGGCTGGTAGCTTTCGTGATTAGCTGATTAGTTCTGCCAACATGACGGCGCGTTAAATGCAATGCAATGAACATGATAGCAAGAAATTGTGATGTTATAAAAAATAAGGCTGCAGCCAACACTTTTGAATTTGATATCACGGAAGTCCTATAAAATTCTGGTGCGAGAAAATACGGCCGACTCCAGGGAAAAGTGCTCTTTTCACACTGTCTCTTCACATTGAAAACGCACTGGTACTCGCAGAGATAGCAAGCATGCGAGCGATCGCGACCGCCCTTAAAATTAAAGTTCATTATTGCTACTCAATTGACCCCCCCCCTTCCTCGTGTTGTTTCATGCTCGTTCAAGATGGATGGTTTACTTTCTGTTTGAGCATTCGACAGTTCTAAGATGCAAAAGATGTTATGTTATGCACTTTCCAGGCAATAGGGATGGGCCGACTCATTTGATCTCTGCTTCAGCAGCGGTGGCGGGCTTTTACTCGCTCGTGAAAAGTTACGATGCGCAGAGGCATGTTATCAATTTGGACTTGCTACAGAACATGGCGGTGACGGCAAAAACTGCCGAAAGTGTCGCAATAATAAAGTAGTTTTTTACTGTAAAATAGGTGTTTTTGGTTCGCTCCGTCTTCAGTCCTCCTCTTATGTAATTTGCGCGTTTATTTTCCAAATTTTGTACCGAACCTGCATATAACAAAATCCTCTTTATAACAAAATTTTCCAGGGTTTTATCAATTTCGTTATATCCAGGTTCAACTGCATAATTAAGTAGTTGCTGTGCAGAAGTAAAACTTCACCTTGGTTGATGGTTTCTTAGAGTGCAGAAGAAAAATACCACTGCCAAAAGTGTGAGGGGGGGAAGGCTCCACCTCCGAACCTTCCTCAGTGAGGAGAGCTAGCACACCCCTTGCCGCCCCGGTAGATACATCAATGATATTGCCTGAATGGAACTGCTGCTTGAATAGAACATTGCCCATACATTACATCGGTACTATATTATTGTAACACAAACTAAAAAATATTCATGAAATGGTCTTGTATCTGAAACTCTCAACGCTGTACAACATGCAAAACCAAGCTGCCATTGGACAGTTGAGAGAGACGTGTCTATTAAGACAAAAAAATGAAGAGGCAAGCCTACTGACATGTGTGGCTCTGTCATATTGCATGTCCTTTTATGCAGGTGCGTAGCCATAAATGTCTTTCGGGGTGGGGGTCATACCTTGATTTCGGGAGGGACACACCCTTAAGATGACAATTTTTCGCTCTCTATGCTATGGCAAAAAAACATTTCGGAGAGAGGGGGGGCACATGCTTGTTGTGCCATCCCCTGGCTATGCCCCTGCTTCTATGTGTATACACTGGCTGCATATACGTATGTCCCCTCTTTCTTTCATGACTGAAATATACAAAAGCACCTGGACAAGAAAGATAAGTTGCCTGTCCAGTCATCTCTTTACACCATCGCAACATTTCACACTTGTGGAGACTTCTATTGCCTTCCTTGGCCACGCTGCCAGCAAATATGATTCAAACAATATTGCATGATTTACGTGCAGCAGTACTCCTTGAAAGTAAAGCTCAAACCGAACAATCCTGAGCACACTCACATTGCTGGAATGGCGCCAGTCTTGGGAGCCACCCATCTCGTGGCACTTGGCGAGTCGTGGGTACTCGTCCCCCCCGTCCAGGCAAAGCCGCTGAGCCAAGCGCAGGTCATGCTGCGCTGTCTCGTACCACAGCTGCAAGTTAAAGGGCACAAGGATCACTCTGCTAGATTAATGGCACAGTACACCTAGAAATCTAAAACCATTACACAGAACAATATTCATAATCATTTTATGTGTGCATGCGTTATTGTTATCCGAAGGAATTCTCAATTTATACAATGTGCACCACTTATAACGTAATTGCTTGGAGGGCAGAACCGATTACAATGCAGTCTTTTTAGTCTCCTGTTTACCCTCCTACAGCGCCAATGTACAACTACACTCAAACCGGGATATAACAAACCTGGATATAACAAAATATCGCTTATAACAAAGTAGATGAAAAACAGTCTTGCATTAGATATAGTGTTAAGAATAAACTTTTATAACAAACTTTCGGATATAACAAACTTATTTTTGTATAAGTTGCAACTTTGTTATGATGAAGTTTGAGTGCATATGCATACCACTTTTTGTGCAGTCCCCCTAGATGAAAGATCAATTATAATGCGGTTGCTGGAAAATCATTCTGACAAACGTGACAGCAAGTGAGCTACTCAAAGGAAGTTCACCGCTGAGGAGGGCGACGAGGTCGTTACCAAGGAGGAGGGGATGTGGAGTGAACGAAAGAAAGGTGGAGGACACAGAAATGAAAAAAATAGGGCGATCATGGCTGTGCTGTGCCGGCTCGTTGAGTGAGAAAAGAGGTCTGTTACATAGGCAATGAGAAGCCTTTGCACTAGAGCCGGCTGCGCACCCTCTGGACAGCACGTGCGGCTGCGTCCTCAAGTGCACTTTGAGTTTTCTGTCATGAAAAACATCGTCGTTACCCCGCTTGCTACAGATAATGCGTTTATAACTCTTACGCAAACTTAAAAGCTTTACGGCTGGCTTTATGAGGGCTCTATAACACGAGCATACAGCACTTACTAAAGTTTATAGCTTTTGCCATCGTTGATCTCCCAGCCGCGATCCCAATCTTCGTATCACACGTGCTGCTCTTAAGTCAGTTCTTGAGTATGATCTTTTCGACACCCGAGCTTCATGTTTTCTTGGACAAACTTCGCGAGACAACATGCCCAACCGCACGCAAGTCCTGAACAGTGTTAGTCCTTTTTCATTCTACATACTAGTACTGCCTGCACATACTACTCTTGTCATATTTCGAGAAACCTTGACATAGAGCTAGCACAACAGCACAACACCTCGATGTGAACACCTTAAAAATGCTGTCACTCAAGTAATTAGAAAAATGGGATCGTTATGTTTGAGTCCTGATTTGCACATATTTGGCCAGACCACTAGGTATAGAGAAGAGCTCACTTGGCGCTTGACCTTGGCACACTCCTGCAGCAGGAACACAGTGCCCTTGGTGGTGACATCGTCCTCAGACTCTATGCACAGATTGGTGTCGGACAGCTGCAGCTGCACACAGAGGGAGCAGTCAATTGTTGAGACGACGACAATTCTCTGGTTTATTCAGTGACTCGTATGTCAGGCAGTGAGGATATTTGGAATATCAGGAGCAATATTTAAATTTATTGGAACAAGCACTTGCTCCTTTAAAGGAAGCCAGCAACAAAATGTGACAGCTCAAGCCAGCGCATGCCTTCCGTACCACCAATGACATACTAGGCGGCCGTGTACCTGCTTCGACACTCTTCCTCTTCCACAAACAAAAACACAGGGTCACTGTTCTTTTCATCCAGCTGAGGATTTCGATTTCGCAAGCCGTTTGAACCTCTACTGTGAGCCTCAGTGGCCCAACACTATGCCAACACTGACTCGTTATCCAGTGACAATATTTCAAAGGATGATTGATAGATATGTGGGGTTAAAGTCCCAAAACCAACATATGATTATGAGAGACGCCGTAGTGGAGGGCTCCGGAAATTTCGACCACCTGGGGTTCTTTAACGTGCACCCGAATCTGAGCACACGGGCCTACAACATTTAATATTGCGGAGGTATCGCCAAAAGTGATCATTTGGCAGCTGTTGGCTGCAGTGGCACTACATTTAAAAATTTTTAATACAATTAGAAAAAGCACACATTGTTGCACGATTTCTTCAAGTATAAGCAGGCATGTGTAAAAATTGGAGTTCTGAATTTGAACCAAATAATACCTAATTGAATAATTCGAATCAACTTTGAATGACTAGTGTTCAAAGTTTTGAATAATTCGACGGAAGAATATCTAAAACACGACAAAGGACAACAGTGCAGCTTAGTTAGACTTGGCTGGCTAAAGCTAACGTTAACGTCATTACCTTTGGCTTTTCCTTAAAACTTTCACTGATATCCTCATTCAAAACAAGTGAATGTTTATTTAAAAAAAAAATATGTCATTTCTGCACATGGAATAAAAGAGAACAAAGCCCATCACTTCTGAAACAAAGCAAGAACTAGTTGTGTAATTACGTCACCTATGCCACAAGCACCGTAAAACGACCTGACTTTGGCCTAAGAAACCTTCGATGACTGGCTTCACACTTGAAAATTTGTTCACGCTGTGCTGTCGCAACTGACCCACCACACTACTCATGCAGAAACTCCCATCGTTCCAGCATGCAGTTAGAATGGTGCTGTGAACAGGCACCCAAAAAGTTTTGGGCACAGAGCACTTATAACGACGCCTTTGTAGTCTTACCGTTGTAGCGAATTTTTGCTCTTTCGGTAGCAGTCCCACCCTGTGCTATGTGCTAAAGGATACCAGCAAACCATCAAGCAGCAACCCATCAGACAGTGTTGGAGCATATGTACAAAGAATATGCTGACGTAATGCACATATTCACAGACGACTCTACAACACAATGTCGGTCATGTATGGGGTCTTCGTGCCCTCTACAGGAGAAATCCTTGCGTTTCACCTAGAGAGAGCGACAAATTCACCCAGTTTGGTGAATAATGTCAATGTTATTCCAGGAATCAGCGACCACATGGCTGTTGTTGCAGAAATCAAAAAAGAATGTAAAAACACCTCAAATAGTGCGGCAAGAAAGGTTTTCCTGTTCAGTAGGGGTGACTACACAAGAATAGTCGAAAAGCTAGAAGATTATTTGCCCGTGCTTGAATGCCTAGCTGAGCACTACAGTATGAATGATTTATGGCTTAGCTTTAAGGACAAGTTGTTAGCACTCGTAGATAAGTATATACCTGCGAAACAAGCCGGAAAGCTTCATAAACGCAAGAAGCCATGGATGACGTCCGGTATTTTGAGATTAATCCGGAAAAGGCGACGGGTTTTTGGTAAATTAAAGAAATCTGGAAGCAGTGACCACGTGAAAGAATTACAAGCATTAACGGAGCAGTATAAATCATGTGTGGAAAGCGCAAAAACGAAATATTTCGAAGGGCTCAGCAATAAAATGAAAACTAATTCAAAGTGTTTCTGGCATTATATCAAAGAGTGTGGGTCTGATCATGTTGGAGTGGCTGAACTAAACTTTAATAATATGGTTGTAGTTGATGAGGAAGCAAAAGCTACCTGTTTAAACAAATATTTGAGTCTGTGTTCTTGCCCAAGCTTGACGTTCCTTCAAAACCACACCCAACCACAATTCCGCCGATGCCACCGGTAGAACTGAGTGTCCGTGGCATATGTTCTCTTCTAGAAAACCAAGATGAATCCAAAGCAGTTGGTCCTGATGGCATCTCTCCTCGTATTCTAAAGCGATGTGCACTGCCAATTTCCCTTTACCTTTATATAATTTATTCAAAATCCCTTTCAACGGGAACTCTACCCGATGATTGGAAAATTTCTCATGTTGTTCCGGTTCATAAGGGTGGCTCAAAAAAAGATGTAACAAATTACCGACCCATTTCATTGACGTCAGTGGCATGCAAAATTTTCGAGCACATTTTATCCAAGCACATATTGACCCATCTTACTGCTAATAATGTATTAATAAATGAGCAGCACGGTTTTCGTAAAGGTTTTTCTTGTACGACGCAACTTGTAGAGTTCTTTCACGAGCTGGCTTCCAACGTTGATGAAGGTGGGCAAACAGATTGTGTGTTTTTAGATTTTCGAAAGGCCTTTGACACCGTGTCACACTCCCTTCTCCTGGCTAAATTACAGACTTTAAATTTCCACCCAAATGTGTTCATCTGGATAACCAATTACTTGCTGAACAGGCGTCAATGCGTTCTTTTAAATGGGAAGTGTTCATCCTATGTTAACGTTACATCAGGCGTGCCCCAAGGCTTTGTCCTTGGGCCTCTTTTATTTCTTATTTTTGTAAATGATATTTCTGTGGGTATTTCGTCGCGCATGCGTTTATTTGCCGACGATTGTGTGTTATATCGACAGGTTCAGAACGAAGGTGACTGTGCTTATTTGCAGAACGATTTGGATTGTATTGTACAGTGGTGCCAGAAGTGGCAATTGACGCTAAACCCCAAAAAGTGCGTTCATATGCGTGTTTCCAAAAAAAAGAAACCAATAGTAACGGCGTACACCATAGATACACATACTGTTATTACCGAACCAACATGCAAATATCTTGGCGTTGTTTTGTCGCATGACTGCTCATGGAATGCCAATGTTGATCACGTTGCTGGCAAAGCGGCAAGGGCTCTAAACTTCATTCAGAGGAACCTAAGATTGGCACCCCGAACATTAAAAAATACAGCCTATCTCACATGTATTAGACCGATTTTGGAATACGCATGTCCTGTGTGGGACCCGATGCAGGCGAACTTGATTGATAAGCTTGAAGAAATACAAAACAGAGCTGCGCGGTTTGTTTTAGGGCGGTACGAGCGGAGAGACAGCTGCAGTGCTATTAAAGCTGAATTGGGTTGGGAATTGCTTTCTTTACGCAGGAAAAAACTGCGTTTGAAGTTTTTCTTTTCTGTTTTTCATGGGCGGACTGGGATTGACCGTCATAACTATTTCAGTGAACCCAGTTACATATCTAGTAGACATGGCCACCGACGCAAAGTGAAAGAATATCGTGCAAGAACGACCATGTTTTATAATTCCTTTTTTGTGATGACCATTAGAGATTGGAACAGGCTGCAAGACAAGCAAGTGTGCTGTATAAACGAAGAATTGTTTTATTCCAGTCTGTAACCCCCCTGCTGTAACGCCTTTTTGAGCAAAGCGGGGCACTCACCGAATAAAGAAAAAAAAAATCTTCGACAACTGCAGAGTTGTATGGAATTAGGGAGGCTATAATTGGTTATTCTAAGACACCAGATGCCAAAAAGATGGGCTGTATTTGCAGATTGTAAAGCAGCTCTTCAAACTATGTGGAACAGGCATAAGAGTGGGAATCAACAACCTGTAACATCTGATACTGCCTCTCTCCATCACAAGGCTAAGGCTGCTGGACATATTATGTTTCAATAGATACCTGGCCATGCTGGTATTTCGGGAAACAAAAAAGCTGATGAAGCTGCCCGAAATAGACTACAATTCAGAAATTTCAGAAGAAAATTTCTTACAAAAGCCGACGATTGGAACATCACAATAAGATATGCCTACCAAGTAAAAAGACTACATTTAGAATTCGCCACTTCACAATGATAGCTTTCTCTATTGTATTAACCCAAAACGGAGTGTGGAACTCTCTCACTCATTTCCTCGCCACCTAGAAATGGTATATCATCGTCTTTGTCTGAACGTGGCATACACGACCAGCTACATGTACCGCATAGGGCGTACCACAAGTCCATGTTGTGATTTCATTAACGTGACTTTGTACTAAGATGATAGGAACACATTATCGCACCTCATGTTTACAGCCATCTCGAGTCTAATAACTTACTTTTCACAAAACAGCACCGGTTGCGAAGAGGCTTGTCATGCGACACTCCTCTACTAGAATTCCGAACAAATTTGCACTCCAACATGGTCTCAAACCTACAAACAGACTGTATCTTACTAGATTTTTCTAAGGCATTTGATCGCGTTGCACATTGTCAGCTATCCACAATAAAACTGGATTCATTAACTCTACCCTGGCTCTGAAATTTCCTTTCTAACAGGCAGCAACTCACCATGGCCAATGATGTCTCCTCATCTTTTTCTTTTGTTTCTTTAGGTGTACCCGAAGAAAGCATGCTTGGTCCCCTATTGTTTCTCATTTATATTATATCAACGACTCACCCAATAACATATGATTCTGCATGCGCATTTTCCCTGATGATTGCATTATATATTGCCCAATTAACAGTTTCTCCGAGCACACGGCCCTTCAAGAAGACCTCAACTTACTTACCGGTTCGTGTGACACATGGCTAATGCACTTGAACTCACCGTAGTGCAAAGCAATGTCGTTTAGCAGGAAGAATTCTAAATCCAACTTTTTGAACAGTATAAAACACAGCCCATTATCCGAGGCCTCTTCTTTTAAGTATCTAGGCATCACTCTTACTCCAAACCTTTCTTGGACAACCCTTATTAGGTATGTGCCAATGCTGCCAAGTCATCAGGGTACTTACATCGCAAACTTTCAAGCTCACCCTCCCTCATTCGCAATCTTACTTTCCAAAGATTCCTTCACTCACAACTTGAGTTGTCCTCTTCTATGTGGTAACCCGATCAAAAATATTTGATTACTTCATTAGAATCAATCCAAAACAGAGCCGCTCGTTTCATTGCTCAAAACTATAACTATCGTTCTAGAGTGACACAAATAAGCTCTTTCTTTCCCTTGAGCTGTTAAGTGATCGTCGTGATATTGCCTTGTTATATGTGTACGTACCAGCTCGACCATCATGCGTTGGGCCTGCATATATCACCACACACATCTCGTCGAAAACATCCAAGTTTCACGCGACTTTAGGGTTACACTGACGCTTTCAAATATTCCGGACTTCCAGGAGTTTTATGCCTGTGGAACAGTTTACCTGATGATATAGTGGCAGAAACAAACTCGGCAAAATTCAGACAATCTCTTAACGTGCATATCCCCAGCAGAATACACTCTGCCTAACTTATCGCACGTAACGATCAGTGCTTTCCATAGGGTGCTTGCGCAGTTTCATTCATGTGCAATAGCTTACATGTTAAAGTCTTCCCCCCACCCTCTTTTCTTTTTTCTTCTGTTAAGGTATCCATTGTATCACTTGTATTCTTGTTGGTATTTTATCATGCCCTATACTATGCAACTTGTATTTAACTTTTTAATGTTACCTTTTCTGCTGGTTTTTATACCACTCACCCTTTATAGCATTTTGATTGTACTAATTCTTTGTTTTACAAGCAGTGTTCTTGCATATCAAATGTTGCTTTTTCATATAAATTGGTTGATACCTTTGGTGTACAAAATTTCTGTAACGTCCCCTTACTCCATTCCCATGTGGCCATGTAAGGTATTTCAAATAAATAAATAAATAAACAAATAAATAAGTAACTCTGGCAGCCTAGAGACAGTGCAGCACATAGTACTACTAGAATTCCCCACATACTGCGATAAAACGCAACTGTTCAAACAAGAAATGGATATGATCTGCCACGAACAATTAATGTTGCACAACAAATTAGGCTCTATGCGCGGACCTTCAAAACATCGTCCGGTCATACTATCATTGATCAATGACCAATCCAATATTGGCCTTGTGAGAATCGCTTAATAATACGACATCTCACATAGGAAACCCTTTAAGTATTTATGTGATACCCTAATGTAAAGTTTACCAGGCTCACTAGATTTCAAGTTTTTTTTTTTTCATATTTTTCTTATCTTTCTGCTGAAATCTTTCAGTCCCCTTCCCTATCCCTATAAAAAGTAGCATGCCAGCGACACATAGACGCCGGCAAAAATCTCCGTTTTTTCTAATAAAGAGTTTCTCTCAATTTTCATTAGAATGTCTTGTATTCAATATTCTATTGGATATTCCTTATTTTGGGCCACTACTAGCCCACTACTCGATTCATTATAGAATTCCACCATTCACACACCCCTAATCGTAAGCACTGAAATAAAATTTGACACAGTTCAACACTGCTAAGTTTTTCTTTGTTTTTATATTTTTTTAAGTTTTTGCATTTTACAGGTCTTACATTTGATGTAATTCTTGAAGTCCCTTCTAAAACATATTGTTACAGCTTGTTTAAAGCCGCCGAGCTCTGCTGTATTTCCCACACTAAAATTTTTTAAGTCTTTTTCTTTTTGATATAATCACGTTTAACTGCACACTAATGTCTGTGAGATGAAAAGAACAACAGCAATTTCAGCATTCTGTGAATGTGTGATACTAAGAAGCGTAAGAACACTACCACTAATATGTGCCAATGATTCTGGTGCCAAGCAACAAATAATCATCACTATGATGATCATATTACAAAAGTTACTGAGAATACCGTTCCACATTGGTGCCTTTGTTTTCGACTGAAACCTACAGCACACCACTTTTGTGGGGATACTATAGCGAGATTTGCAAAGGTATGCTAACTAATTTTCATCAAAAAGCATTACTTATTGATGCACTCACTTTCAAAGCTTTCTCATTTTGCCAGAACACAGAACACCAGAGCCTCGTTAAATGGAACCTGAAGAGGCCAGAAAATTATGTTCCATTTAACAGGAGCTTCGTTCACTGAGAAACAAACAGGAGGGCAGAACTCAAGCATGATAACTAGAGACCAGATTATAGGCAAATGCCTATTTTGTTCCTTGCATTCCTATCGTTCCATTTTGATATATGAGCATGAATTAGAGGTTAAGAAGGGCTTTTATGGTGTTTATAGTGCTATAAATGCCTATTTTGAGTGTTCGTCCCTAAATGCCTATAAATGCCTATAAGTGCCTATTTTCAAAATGAGCGCATATACGAGTGCTATTCAAGGCCAAATTTTGTTTTAGAGCGTGGTGTGAAACTGTTTTTCAGGTAAAAAAGGCAAGATTGATATTTCCTAACACTATAAGGTTCAACGAAGACAAAGCTGACATGCTGCGAGCGATTGGAAGAGGAGTATGAGGAGTGCAAAAGATGCTATTTCTGCAGCCCCAAGTGGAAGCACCTCTCAGCGTCTGCAGGGAAAAGAGGAGAGAGAACCGAAGATGGAATAAGAAAACAAAAGTGACGTCTATGGCCGAGGATGTGGCGACCGCCTTCTACAGACAGCTATCCGGTGCCCTGAAGAAACTAAACAACCGCCCTGAATACCTGGGTGTTGCAGTGGGAAAGGAAGAGCAGGTTTTTCTGGGCCGTTGCAGGTAGCTGGAGAACGAATGAAAAACAATGGAGGGCCACTCATAGAAGGCTCTTGTCGATTCAGTGGTGGTGAAGGTTGCCAAGTCGTTGTACTTTATAAAGCAAAACCCGTGAGAGGTGCCGGCATGTTTACAATCAACGGTGTGTGAATATGAGGGATGCCGTAGTGGAGGTAACTGCAAATTTCGACCATCTGGTGTCCTTTAACCTGCACTGACATCGCGCAGTACACGGATGTCAACTTTTCCCCTCCATCAAGATGTGACTGCCGCGGCCACAGCAACCACAATTGAACCCACGACATTCTGGTCAGCCGCGGAACACCCTATAGCGACCGGTCTACCGAGGTGAACGCGAAACGAGGGCCGATTAGTGAATAGCATCTCGATGCTATTAAAGAAATAACAAAATAATAACCAGCTGAAAATATGTCTGCGTGTTTTATTAATTTTTCTCAGCTTTCATTCATTATACCGATTTTGAAAGGGCAGTGCTAAGACAGAGGGAAAAGAAAGACATAGAGACAAAGAGTGTTGTCTTTCTTTTCCCTTTGTCTTTGCGCTTCCCTTTCAAAATGATATGAAGCAGCTAGCCCAAACCAAAAAACTCCTCATTCATGCTACACAACAGAACACACTAATTGCACATGCCAAGTAGTGTAATGTCACATGCAATGCTCTTAATAAGGTATCGTTTAAAATGGAGGATATAACCAGGAGGCAGGACATTTTTTCATCTGTTTTTCTAGATATAGCTAGCATTTAACGAAGTTCTGATGAAGAGTGTATAGTATGCGAAGTCAGCCCACCAATGTCAACGTAAAGGAGCGACGTAAAAATAGGACCATTCCTTGCTGTACGTCACTCCCTAGATCTTGGGGCACACGCCCGCTAAAAGGGAAAGTAGCATTCATTAGAAATTGAGCGTTTTTCTGCGACATGTAATTTTGCAAATCTTAACAGGAATGAAGCGGAGTGCCCAGTGCACCATTACACTTGTCAGCTCGAAATGCCTAAACCCAGTGAGGGGCTCTTTAAGGTGTTCACCGATAGGGGAGAAATTGGTCCTACGCGATTAGACCTAGCATCTTTCTCTTTTTGGGTATCAGTGGTCTGGTTATTTGCCCCTGCGCTGCCCTACCCAGCTATAACAAAACAAAAGAGACCCAGGAGAGTGTTAATTGAATTGTGGACACTTGACGCACAATGCTAGACAATAAAACGGAAGACCACATACTGTGAATCATGCGAGAAATGCATGCCAATGTTCAATAATTAGTACCTTTTTGCTATCTTAAACAGTATCATTTTTTTTGCTTCTTGCCGTAGATACAAGTCACTGATGTCGTTGTTTTGGGATATTTTAATTTTTGTAGAAATTTATTAGGCCTATATTTATGATTCTGAGGGCCTAAAACGGTATTTTACCAGCCTGTCTTTGGCGCCTAAAACACCCTTTTTAGTGTCTAAAACTCCGGCCTCTAATGATAACAATCACGTAAAGACTGTTGTTTCATTGAAAGAACAAAGTTCAATTTAGACTGTAATTGTGTTTTATAGACTTCTAATTATTGAGAGTCCATTATATTGTGGATGCTTTTCTGTTGTTGTTGTCGTTGCTGTATCAGCTAAGTTTATTATAGCCCAGTTCAACCATTAAACCACACTAACCCCTAGGCATTAGTACAATAATAAATTGAGCTCACTTACTAAATGAGTGTGCCCATTCAAAGGAATAGATTGGTTAGAAAGGGGTCACCTGAAAGCGGCCAATGATGGTGGGCATCTTGCGGCGTAGCACATCAAGGTTCTTGGGTAGAGACAACTTCTTGTGCTTCTTTGGGGGTGCCAGGTCTTCGGGGCTCGGCGGCCTCAGCTCGGGATAGACGTGGTGCATGTACCAGTGGAAAGAGTGGCACTTGAGACGCTTGCGCAGCTCCTTTCGTGCAGACACATCCCCATACCACTGGTTGCGGGCATCTCTCCGTGTCTGCAGGTAGTACGTCTGCAACACATGCATTTAAACACCGCATCAAAGCCTTTAGTGTAACTGGTATCTGTAATTGCTTGAGGAAACTCTGTCATGTCACTACGAATCAGACCATTGAAGGTAACGTTCGCTCCAAAGTAAATGTTGAAGTCGAAACTAACGCTGATATGGCACAAACTGAAGACAGTGGAGGCTGAAGTACTGCACTGCTTGGCCCTGTATTGTCATGCTTCAATCTGTGAGCACTCTACAGAGGGACCACGCTTAGTTAGCTACAAGGCAGAAATCAGCCAGGAAAAGGCCAAGAATCATTCAACCAAAAGGCTAGAAGAAAGCTTTCATTTTTTGGCTTTTTGAGCTCATGGAATAAAGTGCCAGGCACTCGCACCAGAGTGCACCATACATGAAAGGTGGCAAAGAAGTCTGAGTGGAAGGTTAATTAAGCCAGCATGTGAAGTTATGCCAGGTCAGGTGCCAAAGGAGTAAGCTGCTAGACCTACATCACACCATATTGACAAAAGCGAGTTTGCACAGTAAAGCTGTTCTTGGGCCAGACAGGGTGGTCATGCTTCAGTTCGTACCTATAACGTGTAGGTTCCTTATAGACAAAGCCTTATTTCTACGTGGCACTGCCCATAGAGGCTGTAACCAATGCAACGCCACCCTAGGCCCGGCAAGGGGCGGCACAGTGCAAATGAGGTGACATTTTGTAGCTATAAGAAGAAGAGATGTTTACATGCACCAGACTTTTTCCAAAGACGGGCAAGCCTTCTCCAACACTCAAGAAAGAGGCCCCTCATCAAAGTCTTAGCATGAGTTCACATGAGACTACTTCAAAGTTTCCACAACTTTCACTTCATGGCTTTACTTTTTGTTCTTGTCCCCATCCTTAACACCCCCAAGAGTTACGTTGCATTTCTTTAAGCATAGGCATATGTGCTCTCGCCTGTTACAGCAAAGCTGTCCGCCTCTAACTGATTGGGATTGGTGTTCTGAAATAAAGTTACTACCATTACCACAAAAGAACTGCCCCATCTATTTTAAAAAAGAATAGCAACATTAGCCATCCTGCTGAGCTCGAACAGAAGATGACGAGGTGCACATTTAAGTCGACATCACTGGGAAGCTATTGTCTAGTGTTCAATTCGTGGACAAGTCCGATTTGCTGGAGCAGATTCAGTTATACAAAAATACGGCGACTTGTGATGTCATGGCACTATTGACCATGTCGACGCTCAGACACCACCAACCAATTCCCAGTGTAAAGAGAAACTAAGTCAACAAAATGTACAGCAACAAGACTCATACACAAACTTGAAAAGCCTGAACGTGGGTATGAACCTTCCAGGGGTTTCAGACAGGCGGCCGCAGTTAAACTTAATTCAAGGGCTAGCATGATTAATCCATGGACGGCCTCAAAGGTTTGCGTCCAAAAGTGGATCTCTGGCGGAAGCATCCCTTGCGGCAAAATGCATTCCATCTTTCTTATTAGATGCGAACTAGCTCTTTGACTAGCGTGTGAAATGCTTGTCCCTCCATACAAACGTGCTGCGCACCGCAGGTGTTGTTGGTGTGGTGCCAAGTTGGTCACACCGCTGCTGTGTGTTGACTTTACGCTCCCCTCCCAGTGCGCGCTCACCGCGGCACCCACAGCAGCCGCCTCATCTGTTCGCCCACAACACCTGCCACCACCACTCGCTATACCGCTGTTCGTCAATACACAAGCAATAAACCTGACGCGTGCCTAATGTATGCATTGAAACATGTCTGTATATGTCACCTACAAAACCTACACAGCCATCGCTTCAAACAAATCTTTCAGTGATTACCGCAGCACCAGCGTTAGCGCCATTCAACCCGTGACGCCACCCGTGCGCAACGCTGCTGCTTCGAATCAGATCAGAGTTCCCTTTAGGAAGATGGTGTTATTTTGTGTTGAGAGTCCTGAAAGCTGCGTACGTCAAAATGACGTTGAGGAAGAAAGACAGGAAACTGGTGGTGGGCTGCTCGCCAACTCCAGTCAATCAGCGGAGGCTGATCTGGACATGCCCGTGAATTGTACACCGCAAGAATAGATCCCCTGGGCCCCAATAATTCTAAATAAATGATAAATAACAATTTGGCGACCTTTAAGCTGCACCTCTCAAAGTTGAATGTGACGGCGATATCCTGTCCCTAGCACATGCTCACACAACATAGAGCATATTTTTTAATTGTATAATGTTACTGGAGAATTTTAAATTCTGCATTGCTACATAGTAATTAATAAACTTGAAAGTACCTTATGTCAGTGAAGCTTTCGCATATGGCTGCATTCTGTGTGATGGGTAGCATGGTTTAAACCACGAACAATTATGCATGTGAAAGCTTTTGGAACTTGCTATGCACCCACTAGTAATATACTAAAGACCCCGTAGTAGTCTTTTGTATTCTTAAAATAATTCTTTTGTATTCTGAAAGCCAGAAACCCATTACAGAACACCATGTAGTGGTCTTCTGTAGTGGTCTTCTGTAGTAATCTTCTGTAATGGGAGACCAGCTTTGAGAGAAGATGCGAGATGAAAAACGGAAGTTTCTTTCCAAAATTACCTATTTTTCATTTTTACTACCTTTCATAAGTTCAATTTCTCTACTTTCATGACAAAAAAATGAACATTGTAATTAAACTTGAAGAAGGTAAAAATCACTTTTAAAAAGCCCAAGGTAGCTACAAAAACAAAATGTTCCCCCTTCCCTCCCCGAAGGGAGTCTTCAGGAAATGCGAATGCATAGTGTAGCATCCATAACACTGTTTCGCACATGAGAACCTAGTGTTAGAAGAATAATGTTTTCTTTTTTTTTTACTTACACCATGCAGCCAATAGCACCATTCACAGCACGTGGCATTTTTCTTTCGCGAGAAATGCAATATGCGTTTCCAGCTCTAGTAGGTGGCGTGCACAGTTAAAAATACTACGAGGTGAAAAAAACAAACAGCATTCTCGGCTCAGCATTGGCATTTCACAGCGGTGTCTTGAGCACACATTGCCGGGTGTTCTTGAGAGGCGCCCAGCCAGGGAACGATCGAGAGTGAGGCGTGAGCGGACGGGAAAGTGGGGCGCGGGGAGGAGAGAGCGGACCCCAAGAGAAGCGGCCCTCTTCCACACTGTCTACCCTCTCCTACACTGTCTCGCACCACATGCTGCGGTTGCTAGGAACGAAGATAAGCGCACGCCCGCAGCTGTTGCTATGGGCGAGGCCGGTGGATGAATCCTGATGGATGCCTGACATAGCCCGACTAAGAAATGCATTCACAATTAGTAAAAACTAAAAAAGGCTCATTGTCTAGAGTCCTCTGGAAATTGTCACCTGGCTGCTTGCCATTGCATGAGGGGTTTAGCAAAGCCACATGCTCAAAATAATCTTGATTGCCGAAATCTCATGATGTAAAAAATTATCTTAAAAAACAATATTTCTACACAGTTGAGCTTTCACTTACACCTTTAAAATGCATTTTTTTAACATCCATTTTTTGGCAACTTGCTGAGTTTGGACATCATGATTATGATTATGGTATGGTGATAGCCCGATTGGCATCAAACTTTGCCAGCATATTCCTTAACGTGCAAAGGGTGCAAGTATGTCATTTAAAACTTGATATCATCTGTAAAATTATTATGAGCCTGGGATAAGCAAATCATATGGGCTGATTATAAGAATTCTCCCATTCTAATTTCACTTGAACATGAAAATGTTTGATACGCAATTTTTTGATAGTTATCTGTATTATACAGTTCATGTGGAGCAATACGAGTCATTAATGGCTCAGAACCATAAATGTTTAGTGGCATAAAATGTTTGTCCATAAAAAGCTATACTTCACACATTGTCAACGCCCAAAACGAAAACTGTACAACTTACTATAAAAATAATTACATATTTGAAATCAGCATAAAAGCATATATATATATATATATATATATATATATATATATATATATATATATATGATGCTACAAAATGGAGAGAGACATGTCGTGGTCCAGATGCCATGCGTTTATTCTAATGCACGCGCACTTCCTCTTCGTCGGCTTCTCCTAGAATTACCTTGTTAATGCGTCACACATCCCCCTCCCCTTGAAAAAGTCTCAGTTCAGAAGGTACAAAATAAGGCCGCAGTTTGCTAACATGCACAATGTCAGAGTTTCTACTTAAGGGTAGCACGGAGCGGTTGATCTCATAGTCCACTGTTGAGACCTTGCGTAAAATCTTGTAAGGTCCTTCCATGACGAAACTCAGTTTGCCGTTGTTGGGATGCCATGGTGTCTCGTAAAGGACAAAGTCACCGACTTGGAACTCAATCGGAAAAAATTTTCTATCATAAATGACTTTGTTCTTATTGTGGTAGGCGATAGAATTGGTAACTACAGTTTTTCGCGCTTCTTCGACAGTTTCTTCTCGTTGTTCCAGTACAGTAGGATAAGATGGAATTCCATACATCAGGAAGGAAGGTGCGTAGCCGGTCACTTCGTGGGGTGTTCTGTTGTATTCGTCAATTACCCCCGGAAGCAGCTTAGTCCAAGACTTCCGTGGTTCCTCATTCATCTTACATTAAAGTCTCGTTACGATAGTCTGGTTTGTTCGCTCGTTTATGCCGTTGCATGGTGGATGATGAAATGAGGTGAATAGTTGGTGTATACGATTATGTTTTAAAAACTGCTTGAATTTTCATGCAGTAAATCCTGTTCCACGATCTGAAAGGAGCTTCATGGTTTTCCAGAAGAAAAAATTGTTTTTAAGCATGAAATGTAGGTGTCGCTGTTCTCACTCTTATGAGCAAACGCCCATACGTAGCGAGTCGCATGATCAATAACCAAGTGTGTAAAGCTTTTTGACGAGCCATATCCAGAAAATCCTCCAATGATGTCTATTGCAAAAGGTTGAAGGGCTCTTCAGCTGGAGGCAGTGATTCAAGCGTCCCAAACTTTTTTGTTTTCGTCTTCTTGCATCTCTGGCATATATCACAATGCCAAATG